GAGGACCCAGACTGTGGGGGCGATATGCTGACTCTGTAAACCGCTTAGAGAGGGCTGAAAGCCCTATGAAGCGGTATATAAGTCTAACTGCTAACGGCTATTGCTATCTTAATATTTTTAACTATTTAAATATTTTTAAATTGTTCTGGGATTGGATGACAAAGAGAATTATGTCATGTAATTGCCCACAGGAGAATTTTTTATCCAGCATCTGCAGTTGCCAGCGTGTCAATGGCACCTAAATAGCTCAGTCCCCCTTCTAAATTAAAATATTAATAAATTGTCATATATGATTTTGGTTTTCCCAAATAAGGCTCTCAAGTTGCATTATTTTAGAAAGGAGTACCTGAAAAAGATGTAGAACCCTAATTTGGAGCCTGGAAATACAAGTAGTGGCCATGATATTATTCCAGATATTTTTCATGAGTTTTAATATTAAAACTGAGTGAATTATCAAAGATCATGTGTTCATTCTGGCTTTGACTTGGCAGTTTTATCAACAAAAATGAAAATGTTTACCAATGTTCAGGAAGTCCTCAAAATAAAGCTTGACTTGAATGAAACTTTATTTCTTAAAAATGTTTAAAGAGGGTTTGCATTAATGCAGGGTCCAAAATTATCTTTATGGCGATGTAAACTGGAAGTAAAGTATGGATTTAAAAAATACAAATGTTGTCAACAAGATGTGAAGATGTGATAAAACTCCAAGTTATTTAAAGCATGAACCAAGCCATTTATATCCTATTTTTTATTCAGTATAGGCTAAATGCACTGATTGTATTTCCTCATGGGAGTTTAGAATTAACTATACTATCTTGAAAATATATTTATATTAAATTATACAATTTATTTCTTGTCATCTGACCAGCTAATTTTATAATCTTTATAAGTTCTCTTCAGTATTTCAACAGTCACAGAATGATCAGCTTTGCCATATCCCTGTAAGAAGAAAAGATGTCTAGTGTCATGGAGTCGTAGAATAAAAGGATGGGAAAAGACACTCATAATATTTTAGTCCACTCTGCTACAGCTATTGAGCATGACTATTTTCAAATAAACTTATTCCTACAGTACCTGCTCTAAATAGACAAATTATGATAAAATAACAACTTGCAATCAGCATTAGAAATGTGTGAACACAATAAAAGTTTCACAAGCAATGATTTAACATGAAATATGATAGATATTAGGGATAGCTGAGAATTACAGAAACCTCATCCCCAAAATCTATTACTGTTCCTTCTCATGAATTAATACATTTATTAACACTACCTTAATTTTAATATGAAAATTAAATCACCAATATTTGGGCAACATATGTAAGCAGCACTTACTGTAGAAAGGCCAAATACACGGATTTTCTTGTCTTTGCTGTTATGATCAATTTTTCCCCCTCCAAGACACTTGCATACCAAAAATAGCTTTTCCATTTCAGGGTTTACTTTTTCAAATATGTGATCTGTAATAAAAAATAGAAGCTATTCACAATATTTATACTATAAAGACAAAACACAAGGATCTATTAAATGTAATCATTGTAGGAACTATAAAAACTCAAACCTTGTCTGAACTATAGTATTCATATCATTTAACCCATTTTGAACATATTTATTTTATGTCTGGAAAAGATTTATTAAACAAATATAGATTCATCATCTTGTAGATGCCAAATGAGGACATGCCAAAACTGAATGCCAAAAAACAATCTGACAAGTTTATTATTATTTTTTTTTGGCTTTCTATGTCCACAAACAAAATAGAATGATAGAATAGTTAAGAATCTAAGTGGCTTCTTTATAAAATGAAAATAGCAACCTTTCTATTTAAAAGTTTTGTGGAAAAGGAAAGCATGACAGTGAGTCTAAAGCATCATAATCATTTCAATTTATTATACTGTAATTCAAATAAGAGACAGAACAATGTGCTTGTCTCATCCAGATTTCAAATGCAAAAATTGAATGGCACAGCTGAAACAAGTTATTTCAACATGCAGTATGCAGTTCACACAGTATGCAAACTCAAGTTTCAATAATGGCTTATTCAATTGTTACTTGTTACAAAATCATAATGGGGGTGGGTGGGGAGCCCACAAACCATATTTTAAAAGGAAAGCAAACAGAACATTATGGTGGAAGTAGGCTTGGGTGTCCCAGCGAAATCTGACAGCTGATCTAACCCAGGTTAAATCCACTGAACTACTATTCTCTAATGCAGTGTTTCTCAACCTTGGCAACTTTAAGTCCCGTGGACTTCAACTCCCAGAATTCCCCCAGCCAGCTCTG